GGGTCAGAATTCGCACGCAATTTGCAGTAAGCACAGCCCATGGGCGAGAGCCCAAACCCACGGGAATCACGAAGAAGGTCAGCGATTTCGGGGTCCCATACACGTGCCCAAACGGTTTGTGTTGCCTCACTAGTCAACATCGCTCTGGATGAAACATGACGCCGCTAAAGGCAGCTTCCTGAGTTCCCTTGAAAGAGAAATACATACAGCTTCGGGAGTGCATGCATGAGCCCTACGTCCTAATCCCAAATCTGAAGGCCATAGAACTGCGTTCGACAATTGGAGGGGGGGGGGGGGGGGGGGGGGGGGGGGGAACGACAGGTGTTGGGATCAGGGTATGTTTCGGGGTATGTTTCGGGGGTATGTTCGGGGCATCATAAGCTACGTTACCGGCAATTTCAGGGGAATGTTTTGCGGGTATGTTTCGGGGGGATGTTTCGGGGTATGCTTCGGGGTATGTTTCGCGCGTGTGCAACCTGTGTGCCCTTCTTAAACCCGAGCCCCCCAAAAAAACGAACAAACCCACATATCTCTCCACCCTAAATCCTACAGACCTTGCCGTCCATGGTGACAAGGCGCCCGCCCAGAAGCACCCTGGCAGAGCTGCCAGATGGTGAAGAAGAGCTCCTTGGGCTGAGCTACGGTTAGGGCCTTTGCCCACACCCGCATGTATTTAGGGTTTAGGGTTTAGGGTTTAGGGTTTAAGGGTTAAGGGTTAAGGGTTAAGGGTTAAGGGTTAAGGGTTAAGGGTTTAGGGTTTAGGGTTTAGGGTTTAGGGTTTAGGGTTTAGGGTTTAGGGTTTAGGGTTTAGGGTTTAGGGTTTAGGGTTTAGGGTTAAGGGTTTAGGAAAAAGTCTCACCAAGGTGCAGCAGAAAGACACATCTGAAGCTAACATAGCGCTTCTTGCAGCCGTCGACCAAGGTGGGAGAACTTGACAAAAGTCTCCCTGACTCCATGACAGAATCTACCCCTCTAGCCGTTGATGATCTTCGTCACGCGCGCCGCTTCTTGAGCTTCGTTTGTTGTTCGCGTCCCAAAAGTGCGATGAGACACGTAGGGCGTTCACTTTGGAGCTCTGTTTGGCGTTGCGGTGATGACTGTTACGCGGATGATATGTAAAATGGCCCTTGGGTCCCCTCCGCGTCTCCGCGGCACAAGAGTATGCTAGTGAGAAGAATCTGGGCATGTCGAGACTTTCGTCCCGGTGATGTATTCAAAGATGGCTCATTACATGCGCAAGTTGCTTTGTGTGATTCAAGACAGTTCTTTGCCGATGCAAGGCTCGGGTTTCCGTGAGTTCTATCATGTTCGTACCAACCGTGCTACACAAAAGCTGGCGGCGCCCATGCAAATGAAGTGCCGGTTCAGGTCGTTTGAGACGCGAACAACAAACGAGGCTTCAAAAGCCACGACAATTACGAGGATGGTGCACCCCACGTGCCTTTTAAGACGTGAACAACAAACCGAGACTTCGAGAGTGACGACAGCTACGAGGATGGTGCACCCCTCACCCACGTGACCTCGTGACTGTCGACACTTTTCAGGCGTCCACATAAAACCGTGGTCCAACAGTCACGACAGATACGAGGATGGCGTGTCCCGCCTGCCTGATCCTCGTGACTGTCTCGACACTTTTCAAGCATCAACCCCCAACAGTGACGACAGCCAAAGGGATAGCCGATGCGCGACACACGCGAACGCTTTCAAACGCGTTCGGATGCTTTCGAACACTGGCGAACTCAAAGCGGACGATGTCGGGCAACCTCCTGGACCCGTGCAACCTGGACACTTCAAACGAGAACCCTTCTGCTACGCATGCGGGAGAAACGGAGCACAGTGCCTGCAACTGGCGCTACCTGAAACCCTCAAGCCCCCATCTTACATATTGAATCCGAAATCCTACGCTAGATCTGAACGGCCCAGCAGCCGAAAGGTAGATCACGCCCCAAATGGCGAAGGCGTATGGCGCAGGCCTTGGGGCAAACGAGGCATAGCGTTGAGAGTCCTACCATCCTCCTGCGCTTCACGGGCAGCGAGTTGTGAAGCGGCTGCTGGTAGCTCGTCACAACCACCCCGGACCTCCAACCGCCTTCTTCGGCCGAAGCCTGCCAAGGATGCCGAGGCGGCCACGTAAGATAGTTCAGCCTTTGCTTTGCACAGCGTGCAGGGGTCAGTCAGGCGCCATCACTAATTTGAATCCTACATCGCGAATTCCTCAAGGCATCACAGTGCATCACAATGGTCTAGAGTCTTGGACACTGGGTGACTTGGTCTAAAGCCGCCATGAAGCATTGAACAGAACTGCCTGAATTGTGGCTACTTGGGTCGTATGTCGACGGTACTGCCTGCAAACACACATAGCCAGCTGTTTGTCCTATTCTGCTTGGGTTTAGTTTAGTGCTTACGCAACGGGTGTACGAGTGGTGCAATGTCTAAGTGCCGGTGTGAACCAGCAGGCTGAGAAGTACAAACTAGTGGAATGCCAGTCCCAAGCATGGCTGCACAACGGGGAAAGTTTACACTTTACATATAGCCAACGACAGAATAATTCAGTAGGGACTGAAGGTTGCAACGCCCGTAAGCTCAAAGTGTGTCATGCTCTGCGCGGTAGGCTGTTGTGTCTCTGGCCCAAGGCCAACAAACAAAAAGCCAACAGCAAAAACAGGGGCAACTGCCCACTTGCAGGACTGGTTCAGGTGTTCAGGTCCGGGTGAGGTCATCCCGTCGGGAACGAAACTTGCCGAATCCTCCGGATGTTCTCTTCTCGCCTCCAACGTAACATATCGCCAGGCCAAAAAAACTCGTGTAGCTCGAAGAGTCGCAGGAACCAGGGCTAAGCGTAAACAGTCTCAGCAACTACTTGCTACTTGCCCCAGAGTGCACCCCTTCACTTCCAGGCCAGCCTGGGGCTCTGCAATTTCCTACTGGGTTTGGGGGAAGCGGTGTCAAAACTGGATTGAAACCTGCTGAAGTTGTTGTAAATCTCTGACATCACCGGGGGGGGGGGGGGGGAGATTTCTGGACGTCTTTATCAACAGACATTCAAACACCGCCACTAAGTACTCCCAACAAAAAAATAAACACCATCACTGTGTACTCCCCAGTACGCTGGTAGAATTTCATATCCGATCCTGGGCGCCTGAAGAACGACTGGAGCCCTGCTGGATCAGCCAAGAAGCGGCATGAGCCTCGGTTCCGTGTTGCATGTATGCAGAACCGCCATCAATCCACAAGCCCTAATTCCAACAGCCCCACAAGCCAAGGCAACAAAGGGGACTGGCTATATACTCTGAGCCACGTGAGACAATGCGACCTGGCAAGTTCTACAGCTAGCAACCTGCATGGCAGGCTCAATCACATATGAGACGTTGATGGCACACAGGCATTGAGTGCATTCTGGATGCTGCTTCGAGGTCAGCACATGTCTCGACCAGCCCTTGCTCATTTAGCTGGCAAATATTCAACACAAGCATGCAGAATGCTGCAGCAGAATTCCGTTTACCCAAGAGCCAGCTTGAGGATTCCAGGTTTAAGGGCGGTTTGCTCATTTTGCTCCAGCACGGATGAAACTCCACTGCTGGAGCGTGTCTAGCCGTGAGCCGCTCTCGTCGGAGTTGATACTGGACATCCTACGGACGGAGACATCCCTAAACCCCAAACCCTAAATCCTAAACCCTAAACCCTAAATCCTAAACCCGAAACCCTGAACCCTAGGATTCCAATTACTTATCTTGCCAAGCAGCATGGTGTTCTGTGAGGCGTCCAGCCGTGGAATGCTGCGAACTGCGAGGACATTTCCAGCCTCAATGTATGCTGGCAACAAGCAGAAGCTACAGAAGGAAGACGTTAGAAGAAGAGAAAAAAACACACCTCATTCTTGCATGGGCGGGAACCACTTGGACATTGGATGAGGCTTCCTGTGTCTTTATTCGGTTGGGCCGCAGGTAAGACGATGCTAAACGAGGATTTTGTATGCGTTGGGTCCGAAGTCGGCTGACACTCTTACCACAGTAGGGTCTGGTGGTTTAGGGGGCTTAGGTTTTTGGTCGCGTCCTGAGGCTTGGGCGAAGAAGCACGCGTTCGCGAGCTGCCAGGCTTCCATGGCCGGAAACCTCATACCCTCAAGGCCGGATCGAGGCCGCGAACCGGAGACTCCCGAAGCACACCGCAGCTACATGCTCAGGCTTGCACCCTGCCTCTACGAACTGTTCCTTCAGACCTAAGGAAGGAGCCTAGACTTGATAAGGAACCCTAAACCCTAAACCCTAAACCCTAAACCCTAAACCCTAAACCCTAAACCCTAAACCCTAAACCCTAAACCCTAAACCCTAAACCCTAAGGAAGGAGCCTCGACTTGTTCATGCATACGTCTGTTCTCAACAGCGCCCAAAGGACCCTGACAGAGCCAGGGCTGGTATGAACGCCTGTGTGTGGGATGTTCCCCCTTATACAGACAGTCCGTCATAGGGATTCTAATACCCCGACTATCATCCCTATTATAGACTGCTAGTTTCAGGGGGAACATCCCAAACTATGGGTTTCGAGGTGCGGGGGAGGGGGGGGGGGTTCAGGGTTGTGGTGTGAAGGCTGGGTGGTTTAGGATTGGAGCATGCTGAGGTTTAGGAAAGCCAGATTCTAAGTTTGGGCTCGGCCACGTTCAGTCGTCCCGGTGGCTCCCACCAACATTTACAGTTACTGTGCTGGTGAGCACTGAGTTCCTTACCCAGAGCGCCTATGCGCGTGTACATTGCATCGTGAAGCCCTCATGGCTGTGATTCTATGATGTTTGCATGCCGTGGCCTCGTGTGACAATCCAGGCGGTTTATGAACTTGTGGGCATCAGATATTCCTCATCGCCATCACGCTGTCAGAGGTCAGGCTCCACTGTCATACTTTACACCCCGAACCAGCAACCCTTATATAGGCGTCCTTAAGCCACAGCTTAACAAGGCCCGGGAAGCTAAGCTGCAAACCTTCAACTCTGAAACCAGGGATGCGGCAGCTCGCACTTCTTCTTGGAGAACTTTGCCTCCAGGCTGTCCACCTGCTGGGAAAATCCCTTGCTTGTGACATTGTAGCAAGGCAAATAAAACTGAGGGGGTACTTGGTGCTGCTTCAGCCGCTGCTGTCGTCCTTGGCGACGTCTCTGATAACGCCGCTTGACTCTGCATTGGAGCTCTTTGGAGCCCAGGCAAACTCCTTTCCACATCGTATCTATCTGCAGGGGCCTTAAGGCCTCAAGGTTTCATTCAATATTTAACCTAACCCAAGATTCAAGCCCCAAAGTCAGGAAACGGGCCGCACGCAGCTCGCGAGCACCGACATCCCAATCCTGGGCTCCGCGAGCCCGACCCTCTGAAATCTCCGACAAATTGGGGGGGTACCCTTCTTGATATAAGGTGTTAAGTCTTTAAACGCGCCACACCGCCACACCTCGCAGCGCGTCACGGGGCGTGGCCAGGGCATTTCCAGGGCAGCGCCATCCAAAATCAAGCGCAGAGCCTCCAGAGTTCTCCAACAGGCGTGTAGGTGAATTTTGCGGTTAGGGGCTTGATGGGACGTAGGTCCTTGAAGGTTCGGCTCAAGGCCATTCAGGGCACAGGAAGACTTCCAGCTTAATTGAAGTTTGAACCCGGGATGCTGGCAGGGTGGCCTTCCAAGCATGGCCTCATTCGTAGCGAGTATTAGCAGGTGAAGGCTCCTAGTGGTACCCTAAGCCCTAAACCCTAAACCCTAAACCCTAAACCCTAAACCCTAAACCCTAAACCCTAAACCCTAAACCCTAAACCCTAAACCGGGGCATCAGATCTTGTCGGACGCAAATTGACACCGACTCGTCCACTTGCCTCTTCGGAGGCATCGACCTGCACGACGCCAGGATCGGGGATGTTCTGGAGTGCCAGAACCTGAGTTTAGGGTTTAGGGTTTAAGGTTTAGGGTTTAGGGTTGAGACTCAAAAAAGGCTCTGAGAATGCTCCGAGCTAAGCTCAGCGGCTTAAGTTGAGGGATCTGGGGATGCTGCGAGTCAATGGCAGCAGGCTTTGAAGGACACAGGTTCCGGAACTCGGAACAAGTGTATCCATTGAAGATTGAAGCTAGTACTTCTCAGAAACCCCCAAAACGCCCAGATCCCATGGGGCCCTAGGGGCTAGCCTGGTGGCTGTTGGAGCCCCGTCCCTATTCCCAACGAAACCCCCACAAAAGGACATGCCTGCAGCTTTCTTGGAGCCTGACCCAGTTGCCACCATCACGACGCCAGCAGGGCAGACCCTCCGCGCGGTTGGGTGATTTAAGCATGGTCCGAGCTTGGCAGGTTGACGGGAGATCCTGACGCAAGACCAAGCCCTGACCCCAACCATACTCCTAAACTCGTTAGGCCCTAAACCCTAAACCCTAAACCCTAAACCCTAGACCCTAGACCCTAGACCCTAGACCCTAGACCCTAGACCCTAGACGCTAAACCCTAAACCCTAGACCCAAAACCCAGGAGCTTTGTAGACAAATGCTCAAGACCCCGAAGAGCTAGTCCAGCCTCATCGTCCTGGATCTCGCCCAATGAGGCCTCTCCTGGAGCCTCGGATCTGCGTTTCCCAAACAGTCTCAATTTGGGTTTAGGGTTTAGGGTTTAGGGTTTGGGGTTTAGGGTTTAGGGTTTCGGGTTTCGGGTTTCAAGGGTTTAGGGTTTAAGGTTTCGGGTTTGGGGTTTTAGGCGGTACCTGATGGGGGGGCCTGATTATATGGGGGACCTTGATGGGGAGTATAAGGGGGCCTTATTCAAACGGGGACCTTACGAAGGGGGCCTTATTGCTAGCGGGACCTTATGTATAATAAGGGGGATCCTACTACTTGGGGGTGTAGAGTAGGGGTCCCTAAACCCTAAACCCTAAACCCTAAACCCTAAACCCTGTTGTCGTAAAACCCCCCATTTGTGTTCTCAATGTCTGGCTGCTCAAGGCAAGGGGCCGCGCCGGCCCTGTCCAATGCGCTCTGCAGCACCCCTGATGGCGCATCCGCCTGTTCAGGGTTTAGGGTTTAGGGTTTAGGGTTTAGGGTTTAGGGTTTAGGGTTTAGGGTTTAGGGGTTGGGGTTTGGGCTTTGGGGTTTGGGGTTTGGGGTTTGGGGTTTAGGGTTTAGGGTTTGGGGTTTAGGGTTTAGGGTTTGGGGTTTAGGGTTTAGGGTTTGGGGCTAGCTGGAGTTTGTTGGCTTGGATGTGAGGCTTTCGGGACTTCGGGACGAACCCCGAATGAGGCCGCCCGATGAATCGCTCGCACGAGTCGCCCACATGACTCCGGGCATCAGTAGCAAGAGAAACAAACCGACAAACACGCAGCCGAAAAAAACAAACGAACGAGCAAGTGAAGAAACGGAAAAAGAAAAAAAAACTAACGAAGGAAGGAAGAAGCCAACAATACAACAACCGAACAACCCAGCAAAGACAGCAACCACAACAACACCAACACTCAAGTTTGCCGTGCTATTCAGGAGCGTGTGACTGTTTGGGGCTCAGAGCGGGGTCCGCAATTAAGTCAAGTCTTCCGGGTGGCCTTTCAAATCAATTGCCGGGCCTCGCGGTCCCTTTTAAACTCATACAGCCTCATCCCTGTACAAATGTTCTGAACTCGCCCGACCGCTTAAAGAGACACAAAATCAGCTTCGATTGTTCAGGGGGGGGGGAAGAATAAGGCAGGTAGAACATTACTGGCCAGAGGCTTGAGCAGCCGACACTGACCTCACATCCATGCATCCATGCATCCGTTGATCCAGAGCCATTCCCGAAAGACCCTGGCGGCCTAGAACCGCAAACTCTTATAACTCGAAAGGCCGTCTGAGACCCGAAGCCCGGTCGTGAGCCGCTGAGTGCCCGGCCACCCAGCCCCTCTTGTAGAAGACCGGCGGCATGGCTCGTGGGGCCGCGGACAAGAGAACATAGATTTTGGGAGATACTGACGGCTCCTTCCTAGGGATTCTAGTACCCCCTATTATAATCCCATATAATCCCTATTAAGGACTTTAGAAAAAGGGGGAACATCCCAAACATAGCTGCGCAATGACGTTGTCACCTAAGCCCTTGTGACTGGGCTGTGGTTGGGGTGCTTTCGGTGCTGTGGGGCTTCGGAACCTCAAAAAAGCCTTCAAATTCCGCGTTCCGGCAAACTGAGGCAACCCGAGGCTCGCAGAAGGAACCTGGGCTTAATTGAACGCAGGCCTTGAGAGGCCAGCTCATGCCCTCGCCAGACACTCCAAGACGACAGCTAACAGGTCACGAATGGGCATCAGCACCCAGAGAGTCCCGACACCAACAGCACCCTGTGATTGATAATGGGAACCAGTGTCAAGAAAGGGTCTATTGCAGTATGCAAGGACTGGCCACAGAACGAATCCAAGGTATCCCATTTCTGCGGTACGGGCCGGAGCGAGCCCTGAATGCCCGAATCCACCAGGCCTTCTGCAGAACATGCCGTACAAGTACCAAGTACCAAGGAAGCCTGCGCATTGAGCCACCCTGAACAACAAACATTGTAGAGTCGGGTTTGGGCACCCGTCGCCCGGAGACCGAGGACGCCGATCATGGCGAGCAATGGCGCCAAGGAGCTTGGTGACTTCGGCTGTTCCTGGCCAGACGCATGGAGGCGCATCAAGCTGTGCGCTGCCGCTGGGTTTCTGAAAACGCTGCACTTTAGGGTTTAGGGTTTAGGGTTTAGGGTTTAGGGTTTAGGGTTTAGGGTTTAGGGTTTAGGGTCTTCAGAACATGGCTCCGCACTGCTGGCTTGAGAATACGACAAGCTTGAGGGGGGAGTGTCGCTAACAGCAGAGATGGCCAGCAAGGGAAATTTGGGCCGTGTCTTGTGTTTGGGGTAGTGGTTTGCAGCCACAACTGTTGAGCTTGGGCGGATGAAGCTTCCACACGCATTGCGGGTTCCTTTTGTATCAGATTTCCTGGGCCCCTGTCCCTTACGCAGAAAAACGACATATTATCGCTTTAGATTCTGAATTAAGCCTTAGTACAGAGTGTATAAATAAGAATATATATATATATATACATATATATATATATATATTACATAGAGCTTTTGAAAGTCCGAAAATACAACAACCCCCTTTCCGAAACGATCGATAGAACATCAATAACCCCGAAAGGATAGATAGAACATCGGCCTAAGAGTTTAGGGCGAAAAGGCGCCCTGGGGGGCCGGGGTTAACTATTCCATCTATGGGTTCCCGCAGGGGTTGGAGGTGCTCTCCTTCGGGGGAGGGCGCAATAAAAGTTAGGACATCCTTAAGATTCTGACCAAAACCGTATATAGCCCCACAACCGGAACGCTGAAGCCCTAGAAGCCTAAATCCAGCCAGAAGACGATATTCTATCTACGGTGGCGGTCGCATCAAGAGCGCCCATGTTGTCCTCCATTCCCTCAACCGTCAACAGGTCTTGGAAGTACGAACCAAAACACGCCCGCAAGAGGCTTTTGAAGGTTTGGGACCACCCTAAACGGACGCCAAGACGCCCCCAAGAAGTCTATGTATGGGTTTTCAAGCATTCTATCTACGGGTTCCAAGATTCTATCTATGGGTTCCTCGAAAAACGTGAGCCTGCGGCTTGTCCAACATGACCAGGCGGCAGGCCACGGCTCCCATGAGGACCTGCGCCGGGGGAAAGGGCGGGGTGGAAAGGGGGGGGTGGGGAAAAGGGAAGAGGGGGGTTTATTGTTTAGGGTTTAGGGTTTAGGGTTTAGGGTTTAGGGTTTAGGGTTTAGGGTTTAGGGTTTAGGGTTTAGGGTTTAGGGTTTAGGGTTTAGGGTTTAGGGTTTAGGGTTTAGGCGTTTAGGGTTTAGGGTTTAGGGTTTAGGGGGGGGGGGGGGGGGGGGCCAAAGGTCTGCTAAGTTCCCTTCCTTGAACCCCCCCAAATAGGGGGGGGGGGGGGTTCCGACGAAGTTAGGGTGGTACCCTGGGGTCCTTATGGAATCCTGCTATTTGGGAATGAGGGGTCCCTTGTTTTCGTAAATCACCCCCAACAAATTCTCCTGTCTTTCAGGGATTTGATCCATTGGGTCGGTTGAGCTGCCAAGGCCCTGGGTGCAGCTGGCATCCGTTCAAAGGCTTGTACGACTTCAGAAGTTTGCCCACCAAAGCTTTTAGGGTTTAGGGTTTAGGGTTTAGGGTTTAGGGTTTTAGGGTTTAGGGTTTAGGGTTTAGGGGTTTAGGGGTTTAGGGGTTTAGGGGTTTAGGGGTTTAGGGGGTTAGGGTTTAGGGTTTAGGGTTACCGCGACAAATGTAAGCCCCTTTCAACTGCACTCAAGTTTTCTTGCATCCAGCGCCAGGCGGTCGCTGTGCATCTTCCTGCGGCCAGTTGTGAGGACGTGCCCAGACTGTTCGGGTTAGAGCGGCTGTCGAGCGGTTCGTGCGCAAGACGCCACACATATTGGAAATCTTCCTGCTTTGGCTCCAGGCAAAGTGCTCTGGGGTATGGGTGCAGACGTAGCTACCTTCAAGCATTCGAGCCTAGCGCTGCTTAGGGAGGCAAGGGTCCGGGTCAATTCCGAAGAAGGGGGCAGTCAGCAGGGGCTGTGGTTTCGAGCTTCGACGACCCAAACAACCCAAACCTGAAATCCTGCTAAACCCTGCTAAGACCAGCCAAACCCGGCTAAAACCTTCCGATAAACCCTGTGTGCGCAGTTTTCGCCCGGGCTTGCCTGGTCACCACAAAGCAGCGAATCGTCCTGGCTGCCAAACATCATTTGGTCTTCTTGGTCTTTGTCAAGGTGGTTAATACCAATTTGTGGTGGTCACCTAGGGCCCAGCCTCTGCGTCGTCTTCTTGTGCAGCTCCGACTTTTGCCGTGAGCTCCGTGGCCTTGTCTCTTGCAGAAAGTCGGGGCGTGCGAGCATGGATTGGCGAGAACGTCACAAAATTTCCCAACAACCAAGTCCCCCACCGGAGCAGGAGCAGCCTTGGCGGGCTCCTCCACACCAAGGGATTTTTAGCTTCGCAGTGTTGGGTGCTTGGGTTTCTTGGGCAACTGGGCAAGGGTAGTAAGTACTAAGTAGTATTGGCAAAGACAACCTTAGCGATGACAATAGCTTTCCGGTGAATTCTCCTGCTGAGGTCGTAACTAGCTTGTCCTTGACTACAGTCTGCGCAAGCCCAGAGAAGAAGCTCACCGAGGACTTTCTGAAAGTCTTATCTAAAGGCCTTGGGTTGGGCCTCTGCTCCAACCCTGGCCGGGCATGGGTAACCGACTGCCAGTGCACATGCACATTGTTTAGGGTTTCGGGTTTAGGGTTTAGGGTTTTAGGGTTAGGGTTTAGGGTTTAGGGTTCAGGGTGCGCAGCGTCGGCTTTACATACTGATTTGGAGGTTGGCCCCAAGTGGCCCCACGCACAGGACCTGCACTTGCGCGTGCACGTGCCCACGAGTACTTGGCTGGTGTCTATGCAAAACCCTAAACCCTAAACCCTAAACCCCAAACCCTGGAGCCGCCCAAGTGCCCTCCATGCAGCCCTTCCTGCTTCAACGGCGCGTTCTTGCTCGCGTCGATGTAAAGATGAACCGCAAAAACCACCTCGCTGAGACATGCCAAGCCCAGGCGCAGAGTGTGAGTCTTCGGGCGGGGGGGGGGGGGGGGGGGCGGGGGTTTTGCTCCAAGTGGCAGCCCAGGCCCCAAGAACGCCCCCAAGAACCCCGTGAGCCCTGAACCCTCGACTGGGAAAGAATGTGGGCGGGGGGGCGGGCTGGCGCTCTGTTGCTGTCTGCCGGATTCATTCGCTTGTTGACGGGTCGGAGCTTTCACGGGATCAAAGCAGCTTAACACACCTAGTTCACGCTGACTGGTTTCGAGGCTCGAGCCTATGCCAAGCACAACGCTCGACCCCCCCCCCCTCACACTTAAATACAGACTCGCAGCGTACCACACCTCGATCCTTTAGGAGATGTCTTCAGCGCTGCGGCACTCCCAGAGCCAACCCCAAAAAAGGAGCAGCCTTCCAAAAAAGAGCACGAGCCACTTCACCTCCCCATGTCCGAAAAAGTGCGCACTTCTCAAGAGCACTTCACAAGGTCAGTATACGGGAGACGAAGGTGCAAGAGTGCCCAACAAAGCAATCTGCACAAGTAGGGTGAGTCTGGCCCGCAAAACGGGCCCATGGGACCGAGCTGTGGCAACGTGGAATCGGCGCGGACCCCAAAGGCGAGAACACAACTGCAACGTCGGATCCCCAAAAACCTTGGTTTTGCTAGTCCCGCGGGCCAGTCGTGGAGCCAACGGGAGGGCTGCTCTTCACGCTGGAGCCCCATAGTGTTGCTGCACTGTCTAGGACGTTCACACTACTAATATCCATAAACTGGCAGCTGGATTTGGGTTTTAACCACAAGGTTCCGTGCTTTCAGCCCTAAACCTCAAGCCCTAGGTAGAGTCACGCAGCTTCAATTTTGGGGGGGGGTGGTTAGGGGGCGGGGGGATCCCGGGATGGGTCTTGAGCAACTGTGGGCGTGTGAAGTCTACAGTACTAGGCTCTAGGGTTTAGGGTTTAGGGTTTAGGGTTTAGGGTTTAGGGTTTAGGGTTTAGGGTTTAGGGTTTAGGGTTTAGGGTTTACTAGTTCAAGGGAGGTGATGGCCCTATGGCGCAGGGAGGGGTGGGCATTAGCTCTGGCCAGCCCAGACACAGTGAAAACGCCGCACCAAAGTGTCCTTGCACAGGCAATCAGCTCGCAAAACCCACTGATCGAAAACTTCACCCAAACATGAAGACCACTGTCAGCTTACATGGTTTCTCATTCTTTGCTTTCGTTGGGGCTTGGGACCTTCCACGTTTCTGAAAAAAACGGCGAGGCGTTGACCGCCAGTCGATGACCTACAAGTCTTGGCCCTCCTCCCCTGGTAGGCATCTGCCCTAAAACCTCGA